CATCAAGCCTTCCTCAAACAACAAAACGCACTGTATCCACTACTCACCCTGGTATGCTACATAGTCTACCCTAAGATGACAGTGACAAGTGTCCCTATAAACCAGGAACTGTGCTTGGCATATGCCATTTCATTTGAATGTTACATGAACACCAGGAGGCCAGAGTTATAATGGCATGTAGGTAAAGAGACTGAGATGCAGTAACAGCTAAAGTGATACAGCTGGTAAGGTGGAGAACTAGGATGCAAAACTGTCCACCCCCAAAGCTGGCTCTCAACTATCACGCCGTGCTGCCTCCGTGTTGGGAGGGACACTGTAGTCACCTTGTCATGTGGATTGTTGTTTAATGAATAGGTCTTGCCTAACCAACCCACTTGAACACTGTATGGTGTTCTACACACAGTGACATAATAGACATTGAAGAAATATTTTACTGATTATTTTGACAACCTTTTGTGTTCCTAGATCATATATTTCCACTGGAAACCCTGAAAGCATTCTTAGCCTATATTGTGTTTAGGCTATTTGTTGCCTAACTCTTCTAAGAAAACAACAGAGAAAGGAGCAGTCTTCCTACTGCACACCAGGGAGAATAAGAAAGCCGAGGAAAACCAATTTTGCATGTTAAGAGGCTGAAATAAGAAGCTACACAAAGAATGTTGACAGCAGATTATTGAAATAGGGAAGGAGCGGGCAACAGAGCTCCTTTAGAAAAGAAGCTGCAGTGGTTCACCTCAGATACAGTTCTGCTTAACAACTACTCCCGACAGGTAATTCCGTCATACGCTGCATATATTTAAATATGAACAGAAGTCTGCATTTGAAATTGTAACTCATATGAGAGAAAAGCAATCAAGAACTTTTGTCTTTCACAGAATAACCAGAGATTCTTTCTCAAATCCCACTCATTTCAAATAAGAACTGGGCATCAGCAGATGACTTTCATTTAGTACAACAAGCTGCTCCCATTTCAGCGCTAGTATAAAGACTAGAGGATGAAAGAACACACTCCGAGAAACAAAAGTACAGTGTGAGGGAAAAGGAAAATAAAACTATGTTTTTGGTACCAATGACTTCTTATGGTCTTCTACAAAAGAACCGTGTCTTTAAAACATCAGTAAAAATTAATGCATGCTGAGACCTATACTGTCCAATAAGGTAGCCACAAGCCTGGCCACTGAGCACCTAAAATGTGACTACTCCAAATTGAGATGTGCTGTAAGTATAAAATACACACCAGATTTTAAAGACTCAGTACAAAAAGAAAACGCAAAATATCTCAATAATTTTGTACACTGATTGCATGCTGAAATATTATTTGAGATATACTAGGTTAAATATGTTATTATTAAACATTAAAATTAATTTTGCCTGTTTCTTTTAAAGGACACTGGAAAAATTTAAATTATGTATGTGACTTGCATTATATTTCTGTTGGATGGTACTGGTATAGATGATGTTGCAGAAAAAGCAGGGAAAGAAATTCTCAATTGTGACTCAATAGACTTAAGATTCGTCAGCCCTTCATAACAGCCTGCTATAGAGAATTCCTTTTTCCAGAAGATGGGTGTGTTTGGTGTAACATAAGCATGGGACTTAAAATTACAGCAGCCTGGGTTTACATTTGATCTGTGCCACTGACCAGCTCTGAAGTCAATGACATAATCTCAGGTAAGTGACTTAGCTCAGAGCAAACGTATCTCCTAATCCTATTATGAGGGTTAAATGCAATAATATAAAAAGCCCAGCATTTTAAACGAGAAACATGATCCTCCCAACAAAATTTCTGTGACATGCTTTCAACATATTTTGATGGCACTTCATTTAAAAAAAAAAAAAAAAAAAAAAGACTAATAGGCTGGGCACAGTGGCTCACACCTGTAATCCCAGCACTCTGGGAGGCTGAGGCGGGTGGATCACGAGGTCAGAAGATCAAGACCATCCTGGCCAACATGGTGAAACCCCATCTTTATTAAAAATACAAAAATTAGCTGGGCATGGTGGTGGGTGCCTGTAGTCCCAGTTGCTGGGGAGGCTGAGGCAGGAGAATCGCTTGAACACGGGATGGGGAGCTTGCAGTGAGCCAAGATCACTGGACTCCAGCCTGGGCAAAAGTGCAAGGCACCGTCTCAAAGAAACAAAACAAAACAAGACTAATAACATTAGTGGTCTCGTGGTTACTGTTTGTAAAGACTTTAACTTCTGAATTTTAATAAAAAGAACTGTATTGTTAGGGAAGATTATAAAATGTTCATCTTTGGAGATCTTTTTTTTTTCTTTTTTGAGACGGAGTCTCGCTCTGTCGCCCAGGCTGGAGTGCAGTGGCCGGATCTCAGCTCACTGCAAGCTCCGCCTCCCGGGTTCACACCATTCTCCTGCCTCAGCCTCCCGAGTAGCTGGGACTCCAGGCGCCCGCCACCTCGCCCGGCTTTTTTTTTTTTTTTAAAGTAGAGGCGGGGTTTCACCGTGTTAGCCAGGATGGTCTGGATCTCCTGACTTCATGATCCGCCCGTCTCGGCCTCCCAAAGTGCTGGGATTACAGGCTGGAGCCACCGCGCCCGGCTGGAGATCTTTAGGAAGAAAAGAATCGTATTATTTCTCTCGGAAAGTATAAATCAGGAAGCTCAGCAGGATGATAGGTTAGTTTATACTACTTGTAAAAAAGCGGCAAATCTAGTTCGAAAACTCAACCGGATGATGTTGGGGAATTCACATAACATTTCTGGAATACTGATTTCCTCATGTATCAAATGCTGGTGGCTGACTAAATGATCTCTGAAATCCCCTTCAGCCCTAAGGCTCTTGTCGACAACGAACCTAGAGGTCAAACATACATTTCTTTCTTTCTTTATTATTATTTATTTAGAGACAGGGCTTTGCTCTGTCGCCCAGGCTGGAGTACAGTAGCACAATCTGGGCTCACTGCAGCCTCCGCCTCCCAAGCTCAAGCAATCCTCCCACCTCAGTCTCCCAAGTAGCTGGAACCACAGGCTAGGGCCACAAAGCCTGGCTAATTTTTGTAATTTCTGTCGAGACAGGGTTTTGCCACATTGCCCAGGCTGTTCTCAAACTCCTGAGCTCAAGTGATCTGCCCACCTAACCCGTCCAAGGTGCTAGGATTCCAAAGTGTGTGAGCCACAAATATAAATTTATAGTCACTGCTTTCAAAGGTATCCAGCCTAATAGTTTATTCTTATTTCTCACCATCCTTGCAGAATAAAAATAAAAGTCTATACATCTATTTTAAGGGTGCTTCCTGACAAGCCTTCTATAATAACTCCTTGCCCAAGGTGTTGTCCTATAAACCTCCACAAACCCATTCTCCCTGCTGCAAATATTTCCTCTCAATACATCTACCTATGTATCCTGCTTAGTGCTGTATATGTTTAGAAGCCAGAGTTAAAAAGAGAAAACTACTACTTTTCCCATCCTCAACTCCAAATTCTGGTTTAACTGCTCTCACCTTTTTTTAACCAACATATTTGTTAAATCTGAAAAAGTTATAGAGCAAAATGAATGTGTCATTTAACTGAGTGTCGAAAGTAACAAAAATGATCTATAACACAATTACTTGTGGAATGACCTGCTGATGGCTGGTTAAGGTTTACCAGGATTAAACAGAACTCTTAACTAAGAATTCTATTTTATTTTCTGATCTGAGGATTAAATAAACCATCTCCAGCTTTGCCCTAGGAAGGCATGGGACTTTAAGAAATTAATTTTGCTTTCTGTAACATAGCCTGCTTATCTCTAAAAAGAATTAATAATAACTACATGCTCAAAGTCATTGTGACCCCACCAGAAAGGCTGGGTACAATCATGAGCTATTAAATCTTACGTCGGCAGATCTCACAGTAAAAGCAGACATATTAACAACACAGTGTTGAGGCAAAATTTTGAAGAGGCAGGAGTTTTAAACATACATACACACACACACACACACACACACACACACACACACACACACACACAAAAGAATGCCTTATTGCTACCCAATGACCTGATGATAGGGTATTTTTCTTCCTCCTAGGAAGCCTTGCCTTCCAGGTGCTAAAGAAAGCCAGTCTGGAAGCTTATTTTACAACCAGCCCAATTCTTCTAGTTACTCAAGGAGAAAGTGTTAAGGGGTACTTCCTTTGTAGAGGAAAGTGGCACTTGTAAATCACCAATAGTTGAATTAAGATCTCTGACGGCTTTTTCAATTTATGGTGACGTAAATTAAGAGATTTTAGAGAAAAATCACTTTTCCACGCAGTAAGAGCACTGTTTTGTATCATTACTAATTAAGAGCATACAAGCTGTGGAGTCAGATTATAGTTCTATTGCTGTTCTGCTTGTACTATTATATACAAAGGCCTCACCCAATCCAATGTGTTTCTCCATTAGGGCATACTTTGTCCAGTAGGGCCGGTGTCTTTTTCATCAAGAATCCATGCTCTTCCCTCTTCTTTCTCAACCAAACTCCTCCAAAGAGCTTTAGCCCAGGGAGCCTGGCAGTGCATAGTTTCAGCCTTTGTCCTCACCATCTTTTTAATACCTTTCCCTAACCCCCAGCCAGCAGTCATCATGAGGACCTTCCTCAATGCAAGTCCAACCTGCATCCCTTTCTAGTGTGTTGTAATAAATAAATACATTTCTAAATGTGTGATAATCCAGGAAGTATTAGCCTTTCTGAGTGTGCCCAATTATTATAATAGATCGATTAATACCCTAAGAATATAAGGCTAACCTTCTGAAAAATCCTGTCCTACTTCAGGTCTCTTGGACCTATGAAAAACAAGAAAACATGACAACAGTTTAGGTTTCCTGTGGCAAAAAGTAACATCAAACAAATTAACACTCCAAGAGATGATGCAACTGTTACCTGGGAAGCACATTCAGAATGGCACAGCAGCTCCTTTCTGAGACTGGGGTGTATTTCAAATGACATAATGGGTAACTGCTGTTTCTCCAGCTAACAACATAAACCCGGCAATGAAGGATATTTTCAAAGCACCCACCTTGTTGAGGACATCTCGCTGGCAGCCAAGATAAAGATTGGGAAGAATTCGGGTTGGCCCAATGTTGGCAACAGGTAAGCAAGGCTGAGAAATGCAGGTAGGGACTAGAGTGGATTTTCCTTCACAGAGGCCAGGGAAACAACGAGAGAACTCAGCAAACCCACCTAAGAATAAACATTATAAAATTATAAAAAAATTATACCACGCACAAAATAAAAACCAGCCTTCTGTGAATTGCTCAGCTACAACAGTTTAAAACATAAAAACTGAACCCATGGATCCAAGTGGGTATCACTGCACACCTATTCCTGGCTAGAGCTGCTGATGCTAAGACTGAAGCATAATCCAGCACTAGGCTTGGCCTGTATCGCTCCCATGTGGATAGGCCAGCCCTGAAGGCACTTAAAATGACTCCTCTCTCTCAGACATTCTCTTCATCTTCACATACCCTACAACATTTGCTCCCCACTCCCCATGCAAATGTTTTTTTTGTGGAACATAAAGAGGATTTAAAGTTAGTAGTGAGTAACCAAGCCAATAACTCACAGAAGCAAAATGGGGATATAAGAAATGAGAACTGAGGCCGAAAGCAACTTCTTCAAAATAAAATTGAGTCAAAAATTATTTCTACAATTAACTTTATATCTTCCTACCATACAAATTTTTCATTGCAAAGGTATCACAAACATACTCCCACCAACAAACATTCTATCAAGTTCTGGAGATTCCCTGGGCAGTTAGTCAAGGTCTCCATAATTACCACTGACGTCTGGAGAGCTCCTGTCCATCTCAGCAAGCACTATAAAGAAGTGCTGACAGACTAATTGCTTAGGGTACAGGAAGGCTTTGTGGCAAGATTACTGAACTCAGAATTAGAAGAATTCAGTTTTTTCTAGTCCTGTCCTTATAATGATCTGCTCTATGACCTTCACTAAGCCAGTCTTGCCACCACTCAATGGAGTGAAATCTATGTAGCCAAGGAGGTGCTTTCACTGCCTCTGAGAAAAAAAAAAAAAAAAAAGTAAGGTTATTTGCTTTCCAATCTAAATATTCCTTGCTAGCCAAACCCAAACACAGGAACCAAACGGATTCTGATAAATTTTCAGATAAAAGCCTTGCTATCCGAACCCTCACTATTCACTAAGTCCAAATCAAGGAGATTTGGATGACAGGGGATCCTCGTATATTTTTAATATTAAATTAAAAAACAAGGCAGGGTTCAGTTGCTCACGTCTGTAATCCCAGCACTTTGGGAGGCCGGGGCAGGCAGATTGCCTGAGGTCAGGAGTTTGAGACCAGCCTGGCTAACATGGTGAAACCCTGTCTCCACTAAAAATACAAAAATTAGCCAGGCATGGTGGTGGATGCCTGTAATCCCAGCTACTCAGGAGGCTGAGGCAGGAAAATCACTTGAACCCAGAAGGCGGAGGTTGCAGTGAGCCAAGATTGCGCCACTGCACTCCAGCCTCGGCAACAGAGCAAGACTCCATCTCAAAGAAACAAAAAAACAAAAAACAACAACAAATAACATGTTAAGTCTTATTAGAAGATAGTACCGTCTTAACTGAGCCTTGAACAAGACCCTGAAATCTCACTAAAGTATTTATCTTCATCTCCCTGAGTTACATTGTATTAGACTTTCTCCCACTTCAAGAAACATACAAAACATGCCCTTGAAAACTGCTATAAGTGCAGGAAGTTGAGAGGGAATCATCTGCCCTGTATTATGTTCAATTCAAGCATAATTCAGCCAGACGCCTGCTCTACTGTCTAGGCTCAGTGCAGGGTCCTCAATGCAGCAAGTTAGAATGGTAGGCAGTTGACAACTATGCCACCTGCAGAATGTGCAAGAGTGGCCTGGCCTCCAACATCACCAAGTGTCTGTCTGTATATTTTTTAACACAGAAGCAGTTAAAGTTCTTCCACTTACTGAAGTTCTTAAGGTAACCTGATAGGCAGAATATGTGGATCCATTATAGAAATCACAAATTCCTTTGTGTCACAGGCCCTCAGGATCACTGCACCTTACTGTTTCATGGTTTCAATTCTTATTTATTTATTTATTTATTTTGAGACGAAATTTCGCTCTTGTTGCCCAGGCTGGAGTGCAATGGCGTGATCTCAGATCACGGCATCTCTGCCTCCCAAAGTTCAAGCAATTCTCCTGCCTCAGCTTCCAGAGTAGCTGGGATTACAGGCATGCGCCACCACGCTCAGCTAATTTTGTATTTTTAGTAGAGATGGGGCTTCTCCATGTTGGTCAGGCTGGTCTCGAACTCCCGACCTCAGGTGATCCGCCTGCCTTGGCCTCCAGTTTCATTTCTTACCATTTCCAATTATGACTTCCAGCCACACAAAACTCACTATTATTTCACATTTCCATGCTGTTCTCTTGTCCAAGAATACTACCCTCACACCGCCCCATGCATGCACACGTAGAAGCCATAGTACATACAGCATACACATGTGGGCAAGCCCCCTGATCATACAGCAGAGGAAGTAAGAGCACAAGCCCTTGTACCTGAGTTCCTGTCCTGGCTTTACCACTTTCTAGTTGTCTAATTTGTCAAGTTACTTAAGCCCTCTGACTCTTAGTTTTCTCATCCATAAAATGAGGATAATGATCACACGTATCTCACAGAGTTGTTGAGAGAATTAGTTAGTATATCAAAAGTATTCTGTGCCTGGCATATAGTAAAGCACTCAGGAGGTATCAGTGGTTTTTTTTTTTTTTTTTTTTTTTGAGACAGAGTCTCACTCTGTCACCCAGGCTAGAGTGCGGTGGCATGATCTCGGATCACTGCAACCTCTGCTTCCCAGGTTCAAGCGATTCTCCTGCCTCAGCCTCCTGAGTAGCTGGGACTACAGGCGCATGCCACCACCCACGCCTGGCTAATTTTTTATTTTTAGTAGAGACAGGGTTTCACCAAGTTGGCCAGGCTGGTCACAAACTCCTGACCTCAGGTGATCTGCCCGCCTCGGTCTCCCTGTTTTTTTGTTACAGTGATCAGACATTCAGTTATCTAGCGCCATCTGTGCGGCCTTCTTCCACCTTTGATCCGCAGTTGTTTAGCTACACCTCCTTAGGATTCATCTGAGACACAAAGTGGAAAAAAGAATGCCTGTAAGGTTAACTTCCCATAGTGTGCCCCAGAGCAATAGCGTCCTGAAAGAAGCTGACAGATAGGATAGCGGTCCAAAACATGAGAAAAATATTGTATATCCTAGCGCCCTGGGAGAGTCACAGCACATATTAACTTATTAAAGGTTCTAAGAAGTATCTTCAAAGAAACTGGTTTCATTTATTGAAGTCTAGTAAGTTTCCCCAAACTTATCTGACCATGGAATTCCCCCTAAAATATATTAAGAGCTAGTGGAATTCACACTTACGAAATGCTATGCTAAGGTCAAAGCGACTACTGAAATGGAGTCAATCAGAACTCCTATACCTACAAGTATAACCCACAGATAATCTCAAAAAAAGGGGGTCAGCCAATATTGGTATATGAGTGCCCACCGTTTAGAATTTATGCTTTTGTTTCTATTCGTGTTTTGTTCCTTTTCAGTCTCTGTAATTGAATAATACAGTCATTTACAGTGAGTTTTTTCCCCAAGGTAGTTCTTGTAACAATAAATGTTAAAGATTCTCATCATTCTTTGCTTTTCTTACACCTACCCAACCTAACAACTGACAGGCACTATTTTAATTTAATTGTATGATATTAAATTTTAATGTCATGTCTATTAACATGCAGTTCTGGTGTTTCTCTTTTTTTTTTTTTTTTTGAGACAGGGTCTCACTCTATGGCCTAGGCTGGAGTGGCATGGCATGATCTCGGCTCACTGCAACCTCTGCCTCCCAAGCTAAGTACATATAAAGAACTTAACACTATCCAGTCCATAGTGAGAGATCCTCCCACCTCAGCCTCCTGAATAGCCAGGGATACAGGCGAGCGCCACTACGCTCAGCTAATATTTGTATTTTTTGTAGAGACAGGGTCCTTCCTATGTTGCCCAGGCTGGTCTCAAACTCCTAGGCTCAGGTGATCCCCCCACCTCAGCCTCCCACAGCACTGGGTTTACAGGCATGAGCCACTGCACCCTGCCAGTTCTGGTGTTTCTCTAAAGAACTGCCTTCATATATTTTTCTATTCTGGCTCTAAAATAGTTCATGGAATGGTTGTCATTTAAATCCAACAAAACAGCTTGGGCAACATGGAGAAACTCCATCTCTATTAAAAAAAAAAAAAATGCAAAAATTAGCCAGGCATGCTGGTGTGTTCCTGCAGTTCCAGCTACTTGGGAGGCTGAGGTGGGAGGATTGTTTGAGCCCAGGAGGTTGACGATGCAGTGAGCTGTGATCGCACCACTGCACTCCAGCCTGGGTGACAAAGTGAGACTCTGTCTCAAAAAAATACATACATACATCCAACAAAACAATATTCCAGTAAATGTTCTCAAAGAGAAACCACAGAATCCAAGGAAATAACACTTGAATTTCATTTTAACCTTATAAGTGATGATTTTTATAAATAATGTATGTAATCCTAGAACGTACTGAGTGCTGTGTGACAAACGCCGCTCTAAGCACTCTATAGGTGTTTTACACACTCTTATAACTGCCCTATGAGGTAGGTATCACTACTAATCCCATTCATAGATAAGGCTCAGAATCACATAATATAGGCTCAGAATCACGTAATACAATAACTGGAAGAGCCGGGTTATAAGTCTACTTTTCTAAATCCTATGGAATTACCTTCAACTATCCCTTGGATGCAGGGACAGCCTTGCTGATGATATTCACGGAGTCCTGGCCTCCCAGCTGTGACCAGGCTAAAACGGCCATGGTCCTCTCCCAAACTGATGGAAGAGCCTTGTTTCCCCAAAGCTATATTGCTCAAAGGCTTCAATGAGGGAGAAGAAAGAAGATCTGACAAGACCAGAGAAAGGAGAATCTCTTTAAAGGCAATTTCACATGACACCAATAACAAAATTTACAGATGAACTAGTTGAAATGTAAATATGGTCACTGGTTTGTTCATGACCATTTACACAAGTTGGTAGTAAAGTTGAGGCCATGTCTTGGCTTTCAGGTCACCCCCTACAGAACAACTTTCAGAGGAGACGCAATTCTGCAATAATCATAAACTGAGCCATCAGC